GATTAAGCCTTTGTGTGATGGACAGTCTCATAATCACTGACTCGTGGCTGAGTAATGAGGCCATTTCTAAAACTAAATATTTTGTTGTTTCAGTTACTAGACTTGCTTATCAAAAGCAAGTGAGAAGAATGCATGCATATCAATTACACTTCTGCTTTCAATGTCAGGCCAGAATTTTCAAAAATATCTATTTGCCTACACCACCAGCTTGGTGCCTAATTGAACATCCAAATGAAAGGTGGGGGACCTAAGTGATTTTCAAAGGGATGTCAGAGGCTCAGGCAGGAGTCCTTCCTCCATGACAGCTGCTGCCCAGGTTAAGAAACCCACGTGTGTTTATTCCTTTACACGCCGTCTTCCATTCATGGTCTCATGGAAAAACCGTCCCACCAGTGATTCTTATTTTCAAAAGTGACTTAGGCACTTAAATCAATGTCATACAGGCTCCTCAGTGCCTAAGCCACTTTTGAAAATGATAATTAGGTTCCTAATTCACTTAGGTGCTTTTTAAATTTTTACCCTTACAACCTTGCACAGGTACATCATTCAAGCTCTGAATACGTACAGTAATATGGATATTTCTTGGAAAATCCATGTAGGCATATAGAGCTCCAATTTCATTTGCCCACAGCAGAAAGATCTGCCACATTCACCCAGCACAGAACACCAAACTAGTGGAATTATAACATTTCATTTTTTTCACACATTTACTTTCATGTTCTGTATCTCACTGGAAGTTACCACATTTCTTGCCCTGCAGCTTATTGTCACAGATGAATGCACTAAGGGCCAGCTTCCTCCAGGATAAAACCAACTTCCTCCACAAATTCAGCAACATAACAACCTTCCTTGGAATACTATCTTGCCACTATAAATGTCGGTTCCTTATATGCCAACATCCCTCACAGCGATGGTATAGTTGCTTGCTTTACATGTTTACAAGACAATTGACAACCCTCAGATATCCTCCTCCAACAGATCACAAAACTCATCCATTTCATCCTCATATACAACAATTTTACATTCACTGACAGAGGCTGGGGCAGGCAGGCTGGGGAATGTGGTGCACCCAGAGAGGCCTCTTCAGCTACTCAGTGCTAGAGCTGGTGGCTCGGCAGGGGGGAGGGAAGGGGGTTTCATGGGTGGGAGGGCTGATGAGGCTGGGGCCACATTGCCCATCTGCTCTCTGCTCCTCAGAGAGTAGATGGGGCTGTGCCACCTGCCCAGCTCTCTGGGGGGCATCTGGGGTGACACAACTCGGCTGGATTTCCGGCACTCCGGGGTAGCTGAGACCGTACGACCTACCTGGCATGCTGAGTCTTAGGGTGTGGGGCTGTGCTGCCTGACCTTCCTGTGCTCTGTGATGTGAGGGACTGATGCTATGCTGCCCGGCAACCCTGGGCTTTGGAGTCAGGAAGCAGGGACCAGTGGAGTGGGGGAGCTTAGGGCTAGTGGGACTGGAAGGGGCAGGGCTTCAGGCAGAAAGGGTGAGGTGGCGGGGAGGGGGGCTGTCTCTCCAAGACAGGTGTTTGCCCACCACCCATGTTTGTGGATTTCCTGCCCTCTGGGGTAGCTGAGACCGTACGACCTACCTGGCATGCTGAGTCTTAGGGTGTGGGGCTGTGCTGCCTGACCTTCCTGTGCTCTGTGATGTGAGGGACTGATGCTATGCTGCCCGGCAACCCTGGGCTTTGGAGTCAGGAAGCAGGGACCAGTGGAGTGGGGGAGCTTAGGGCTAGTGGGACTGGAAGGGGCAGGGCTTCAGGCAGAAAGGGTGAGGTGGCGGGGAGGGGGGCTGTCTCTCCAAGACAGGTGTTTGCCCACCACCCATGTTTGTGATAAAACTAAGTTCATTAACTAAAAATTTAGGACTAAGTGGGTTTCTCATAAGAATAAAAGGGATATAAAAAGTTACAAACAAAACATGCTTTCTAGTGACTAAACTTAACTTCAGGAAGTTACAGTGTTGTGAATATAAGGAGGTTTCTCACCTATTTTCAGTTTCTAAAGACTTTCAGCCTGGTTGGTTAAAAATATGTCTGTTTTTCCTCACATGTGCATGAGCCTTGGCCATTTATATCTGTCCTGTAATGGATACCAAAATAGCTCTGTCTTTGCTTCTATCTTCCAAAGTTCAGTGACCTCATCTAAGGAGACAAGAAGATTTCTTAAAGTTGCATCTTCCCTCTCCCATTGGTAAGAAGCCATGTCCCACACTGGTTTGCCTGATGTCTTTGTCTACCTTGCATGTAAATGTAATTGTATTGTCTCTCCTTGCTCAGTTTGCATTGGAAACACACCCAAGCAGGCAGAACCACATACCTTTGTCTAAGGTGGGGTGTCTGCATTGTCTTATGCATTGAAATTCTCCAAGAGGGGAGTCGAAACACTTGGGACTTCTGAGCAAAGTCTTCGTGCCTTGGAAATGGTGCCAAATAAAATTTAAAAACATTTTTCCAGCGTATATTTATAATTCTTTATCTATCACCTTTAAATAAACCACACAATAATCTGAATGATAAGTGTGTCACCAGTTTTCATATACAGTAGACGTCCGATAATCCAGAACCTATGGGACCTAGGTGGTGCCGGATTATCAGATATGCCGGACTATCAGGAGGTACTATAAACTGGTTATATATATACTGTATACATTATATACTGTATATAAAGTGTTTGTAACCCTTTTTATTGTACATACTGTATACAGTATACTGTAATGTTTTAGTTTTTTTAAGCCTTTTTTACCCTTTTTGCTCAGTTCAGCTGCTGCCGCTGTTACCTTGTGACTCATTTTTTGCCAAAGCTCACTCACTAGGCTCTTGCCATTTTGATGCTAGACTATCAGGAGTGCCGGACTATTGGATGCCGGACTATTGGATCAAAATAAGATACACATACAGGGCACCTTTGTAGGTCCAGATGATGACAATTGTGAGTTGGAACAATGAGTAGCCAGGCCTGCTATGAGTTACATATGGTGGCATTTGGCATTGAGGGGGTCCCTAGCTTTTGCAAGTCAGTGCTGGCAAATGACCTGAGGGCTGCCATTATGCAGAATCACTGCTGTTGTCGTTCAGAGAGTGGCGATGCAGTGGCTGCTGAGTAACAGTATATCTACAGAGTGGTTTTTTCCTCTTGCACTAAGCTTGACTGCTTGGGCAGGGTGCAGACAGAGGACCAAGTGTTTCTATGTTTTGATGGACTTTCTTTGCCGTCCTAGGGTGCATCTACACAGCACTGTAACTCAAAATAAGATACACAATTTGAGCTATGCAAATTGAGTATCTTATTTTGATGTGATTTCGAAATAGCGTATTTCGTCATTTGACACTGTTTACACAACACCAAATTTCGAAATGAAGTGCTATTCCAAAACGTTTCTTACTCCTTGTAGAATGAGGTTTACATGGATGTCAGAATAGTGAACCCAAAACAACGGGTTTGTTGTGAAGACACAGGATAGCTATTTCGGGATATTCCGGTATCCAGAAATAGCATTGCAGACATACCCCTAGTATGATGAACACATGTGAGACAAAGTGTAGTCATTTGTGGTGTAATTTCTCTGGGTTCAAAATTATCTATTTATTTTTTCAAGCTATCACCAAATAATGAGTTATGAATAATTATAGGCAGACCTTGGAATTTTATACCTCTATTGCAGATGACACATCTTTGTTGTTGAACATCTCCAACAAATAAACAAACAAACAACCCTCCCCCCACACACATTGACTGCAGTCACTGTAGACAATAGTGAGCAGTTGGCTCATAATTTCAATTTATTATCAAAAGGTTTTCCTCAAATGACAAACTCAGAAAGCTAAAAGGAACATAGTTTTAAAAATACAGTATACCCTTTATAGCAGTCATTGGAGGTATCTGGTGTTTATTTTGGAAGTCTTAACTGGCTTCAGTACAAGAAGCAGTAAGTTCCTTGGCAAACTGCTTGAGGACATTTCATATATATCATAGTGTGTTTAAAGCCTTTTGCCAATACCGATTAAGGGTCCAATCTTGCAAACACTTGCATAATTCTAATGACATAACCAGTTTCATTGACTTCAAATGGCTGACTGATATCAACAAAGTCATATGCCAAAGTATTTACTAGATCAGGCCCCAAAAATTGAAATCGTGAATTTCAAAAGTTGTTTTATTGTGCTTCCCTTTAGAGATCTGTTGTATAGACTTTGTCATATTATATCATATTATGTGTAACCCACATTTCTCAATTATATGCAGTCACTGTTAAAATATATATAATACTAAGTTCAAGTCATAAGTATAGCTCAGAATTAAATATAAAAACTGATTCATATATTACTACAAATCTTTAAAAAAGACCAAATTTAGAGAAAGCAAGAAAACTCTTAGAAAATACGGAAGGGGTCTTTGATCACAACATTATTGATTATAAACTCAAAACTTAATAACTTAGTTACATTTTCATTTTGGCTGAAAAGTGGTAAATAAAACCAAGTAAATAGTGACTTCAGCCTTTAAGCATTGGAATAATTACAGAGAAATTATTTAAGTGAATTATAACAGGTCTTTGGATTTTTCTCATATAAATCATTTCAAGTAAAAATGAAAAAAAACATTTGGTAGAACACATTTATCGAGACAGAAGAAGGTACAGAGTCTGACACTTTTGATATGAACTGTTGTATCACTATACTTTGATGTCCAAGATAATGTGCTGCTTAATATCGTCTTCCTCCATCTGATCAGAAATATCAGTATACATTCTCAAAGGAGTAAGTGATTAAGCGTTCCCCAGTGAGAATAAAGAAATCTGTCATAGAATAAATGGGAAACAGAATTAAACTATAATAACAATGTTGTTTGAGAATGAAGCAGTAGGTACTCAATTAAGTGATTTTATATTTTGCAAAGTTCAGTCATAAAAAGCAGTTTATATAATATATTTGCTGCTTTGTTATAAACCTTAATTTGAAGTCTCAATTGTTTTGAATCTCTAATCTCACATATTGTTTTTTTTTGGTCCGCTATCAAATGACTTTGGTAGCACATTTCCTTCCTCCAGTCATCCCAGTAAGTTCCAAATTTCTGTTTGCCTGGGAAGTTTGTCCTTGGGCTGCATGGTTTATAGTGCTGTCACCAAACACGGCATTTTTTTACAGGGTCCATGTACTCTGTCGTGGTGCATGAAAAGGCCTCGGTAAATTCTGCAGAGTTCTGCAATGATCCTATGACCCTTTAAAATAAAAACAAAATAAGTTGGCACCACTGATTCCTTTGAAGACCCAAATGAAAATCATGTTATTTTTTGCACCTCAAAGTCTTGCAAGAAACATCCATCATTTCAAGCTTTTTCAGTTTATCCCTCTTTTTCCTTTAAAATTGTAGCAGCCCAACTACGTTTTTACACGTTTCCTATTACATAAAAAAGATGACCCCTAGAAACACAGGCCTGATACCATTTTCATTAATGTCTATATTGGAGTCAAACTCTCATTAACATCATAGGAGCAGAGATATGGCCTTTCCTTAGTTTTGGTGAAAATTTTTCAGACAGCTTCGCTTGTGCTTTAAGCCCTGTGTAAAAAATAGCTAAGTACCTAAAAAGTAGCGAAGTACCTAAATATTGGAGGAATATTGAAGAAGTTTTTAGTTAGTACAGGTTGGGCCTCACTAGTCCAGCATCCTTAGGACCTGAGTGGTCCCAAAGGAAAGAGTTGGTGGGACAAGGAGAGGTCAAGCCTCCGGCTTTGCCAGGGTGCTGCCCCCAGCTGTTGGCGGAGCTCCACTCCCAGCTGCCGCTCTGCTCTAGGGCTTCCATCCCCTGCCTGGTGGGGCTCCTTGCCCTTGGTCGGCAGCAGCTTTGCTCCTCTGGCCACAAGGTCTCCCTGCCCCCGGGTGACAGTGGCTCTGAACTCCCAACCAGCATGGCCTCCATGTCCCCAGCTGAAGGGGTTTCCCTGTTCCAGGCAAGCAGCATCTCCACACCCCTGACTGCAGGGGCTTCCCTGCCCCCGGCCAGCAGTGGATCCACGCATCCAGCCAATAGGGGCTCTATGTCCCCGGCTGGCAGAGCTACATTCTCAGCTAGTGGGTCTCCCTGCCTGGCCCTGCTCCAGCTGCCACCCACTGGCTGGACACTGGCTCTCCAGACTGCCTGCCTGGCTGAGTTCCCAGGCTCTGGCAACCTCTGTGGCTGGGGCTCTCTGGTCCAGCGACGTCCGTGTAAAATCAGAAGGGGAATATTTGGTAAGTATTGTCAGAAGCCATCAGCAGCATAGAAGAGAGAAAAGAAAATAAAGATGGCTTTCTAGTAAATGATCCAGCAAAACCTTGAGCAATCCTAGGGCTGGAGCCACTGAAATGGGATTTTGCCAAAACCATAGCCAAAAATATTCTGTGTGTAATAAAATCTGTCTTACAGCTGTCATTATTTTTGATTTATTGGCAGTGGAGAGCAAATCCTGGTAGCTTTAGTTACATTGTTAGTACCACTGAGGTGAGTCACATAAGCAAGATTTGACTTGTGTCTGTTACTATGACTGATTTGTTTTAAAATGGACTAAGAATCAAATGCAAATTATCTGAAAAACTACTTCCTTTCTTTTTCCTTCTTTAGTGACCACTAAATCTAAGGCTTCCTTTCACATATATTTCTTTGTAGTTAGGTATTGTATTCTATTGCTACATTTATTGAAATTGTATTAAATGTAATCTAATCAACAACTTCAGGAGTATACAAGCTTCAGTCGTGCCCATCCAATGCTCCTAATTAAAATGTATAATGCAAATAACAAAGCAATAAAAAGTACTCTCCATCCCTCCTTGACAAAGAAATAAATCAGCTTCAGCAAATGCAATAGGCATAAAAAAAACCTATACATTTTGAGTCTTTATGGATTTTTTGATACAAAGCCATCTGTGTGCTTGTACTTTTATATGTTTAGTTAAATATGTTTTACTTCTAGATATGGTTCTAATATGTACAAAAATGCTTTATATTGTAGAGCTTTATGCTGGGCCTGATCATGCAAACCATTATTTAGGCAAGGTGCCCCAGTAATATCAATGAGATTTCTGATGTAAGATAAGTTGTGTGGGAAAAGGTTTGCAACATGTTTTGTTGTAGCCACCTATATAGATATAAAAAAGTAGTGAAATTGAATGGCATTAAAACAAAGTGCATCCAAATATAAATGGCATAAAGACAACAAGCCAAATAATTTCCAACTAATGAACTGTACATATTAATAATACAAATCTGAGACAGCGCTAAAAAGAACTGCAGTAGACCCACATTAGCATTGTGCCCAGATTCAGCTGATTGCAGGAGTTTTAAATAAAGTGCCTTGGGGAGAGATCTGTAGATTGCATAGAAACACCCACACCAAAATGCCAGTTTAATGACAATCACAGGAACAGTCACTGCTTTCACCAAATATTTGAGTATGTGGGATAAGCAAAAATTCTCTGGTAAAGAGAGGGGGTTCTGAAAGAAATCTCTTTGGAAGTGTTGTCCTGAACTGTATCAGTAGATAATGTGATCAGTGGGAGTGTAAGTGTGGTAGGGTTCACATAATGATTTGTGGCTAGCATAGATATTGTGGCATCTGTTGCTCTTACAAAATGTAGCCAATTGGATTTATAAGAACAATGTTTTTATGTTGCTCAGATGGATTGTTGTTCTGGTTTAGGTTAAGTTTAGGGACCTAATCAACCCAGACCTTCTGGGCACCTACACCCCATAAGCAGGGCCCTATCAAATTCAAGATCCATTTTGGTCAATTTCATGGCCCAGGGGGGTCTTAAAAATTAGTCAATTCCATGTTCCAGGTATTTCCATCTGAAATGTCAGGGTGGTATAATCCTAGGGGTCCTGGCCCAGTGATCATGGTGGGAAGGTCACAAGATTATTGTGGAGGAGTCATGGAACTGCCACCCTCACTTCTGCTCTGCCAGAGCTGGGTAGCCAGAAGTGAGGATTGAGGGATTTGAGGGCTTGGGTTACCATGTTTCTCCCACCTGACAGCTGGAGCTGCAACCTTTCCATACGGGGGAGGAGGGCTGACCTCTGGAGCAGCCACCTCTTTGTGTGGAGAGGAAACAGCTACAGCTGTGGTGTTTCCTGCAGCTAGGGGAGATCCTGGAGGTGAGTCTGACCTGCCTGGGAACAGCCCTTGCAGGGAAGAGGAAGTCAGGCAGCCTAGCTAACTCTTAGCTGCCAGGAGAGCCGAGCAAATATAGCTGCAAGGCCTTCTTTCTTGACATCCCCTCACACACATGGGCTGCGCCTAGACTTGCATGATTTTGCGGAAATACTTTTAACGGAAAAGTTTTTCCGTTAAAAGTATTTCCACAAAAGAGCATCTAGATTGACATGGATGCTTTTGCGCAAAAGCATCCGTGCCCAATATAAACGCGCTTTTGCGCAAGAAAGCTCTGATGGCCATTTTAGTCATCGGGCTTTCTTGAGCAAAAAATTAAGGTTCCTGTCTACACTGGCCCTCTTGCGCAAGTATTCTTGCGCAAGAGGGCTTATCCCTGAGGTGGGAGCGTCAAAGTATTTGCGCAAGAAGCACTGAATTCTTACATTAGAACGTCAGTGCTCTTCCGCAAATTCAAGCGGCCAGTGTAGACAGTTGGAAAGTTTTTGTGCAAAAGCAACTGCTTTTGCGCAAAATCTTGCCAGTCTAGACACACCCATGTGTGACGGCGCGTTGGGGGTCCCCTGTCTCCTGCACCCCGAAATGGCACAAACAGACTGCCCCAGCCGGTGGAATAGAGGAAGTTTATTGCCTCTCCAGGATACAGCACAGATGGAATCTGGTCACAGAGCTGGGCTAGGATGCCTCAGGCCCCCTTGAGATGGGGGGAGACTGGGCCCCTAAACTCCAGCCTCTTTCCTTAGGCTCTCCTCCATTCTCTCCGACCGAACTAACTAAATTCCCTTCCAGCCCTGCCCCCCAGTCAGGGCAGCATTCCACCTTCCTTTGTTCCTCTCCATGGGGGGTGTCTGGCCACTGGTTCAACAAGTTTGGCACTACCTTTGCATAGTGAGGTTTTCCCTGCTGGGTCTTGCTCCAGACAGCAGGGGTCACCACAGCCCAGCAAGTACCCCCACTACGTCACACCATGGAGTCAGCTTTTCCAGAATTGTCAGAAGTAAGACCCTGCAGCTGTACCTGCTCAGTACTTCTAATGAGAGAGCTAGCTGCTTGATTGAACTTCCCTCCTGGATTCGCTGGGGAAATCTGTAGGCTGGCTCCTAATCTCAGCAGCAGCTGGTTGGTAGCTTCTCAGTGCTCATGTCCACAGTGACTCTGCTTGCCTGTGCTTATCTCTCTCCAAGCCCCGCTTCTCCACTGCTCCAGTCTAGACCCTGCCCTGCAGCCAGCCTTGCTCCACGCCTGTCCCTGCTAGGGATGTCAATGGTTAACTGGAAGGGGCTGGTGCAGCCTCCCGCCCATTATGGAGAGGGGGCTGCTCCAGATTTGTGGGGACAGCTGGGAATGGTTTGCTCCAGCCCAGACAGAGCAGCTCTTGTCCGCAGCAGGCATGGGATGTGATGCAGGCAGGGGTGATCTGGCCTGCAGCAGGGGGGGCATTCCATCCCACCTGCCCCTGTTTAATTGGTTAACTGGTTAAAATTAACATTTAACTGGTTAACCAATTAAATGAGACTTTCCTTCCCTAGTCCCTGCCTTGCTCTTGCCTCTGCACCAGACCAGCTGCTGCCTTCCCTGACTCCTGGTAATGCAGTATTGACCCATGGCTCTGGTTCCTGGCTCCCACTTTATCTCGCCCCTTGGCTATGGCATTTGGACTCCCACCACTAGGCATGACTCAGATCCCCGATGAGGGGCAAAGTAAACCGCAATGTGTCAGACTGTTGGTGCTCAGGGGGTGGGGAATCTCCGTTACCAGCCTTTTTTTGTCTTCCCTCTTACAAAGGATAGGTGGGGAACGGTGTCCTTGTCTCTCATGGCTGTACAGTGCCCAGTACAACGTTGTCCCTTTCTTGTTGGTGACCCTTACTCATTGCCACAGAGCAGTTAAATAATAATAACATACTTCTAGGGATACTAACAATGCAGTGCTAGAGAACTGCCTGGATTGGGCCTCTTTCTTCACTGAGACCCAATCCAGAGAATTACAAAACAAAATCAAAAACACCCCTGAGCTCTGATCTGATGTGTCTTCATGAAACAAGCTCCCAGCATAGAAAGAGGTCCTTCATCTCCCTTCCATTATCCCTCTTTGTGAGGAGATCATTTGATTTCTTCATCTTTCCCTGGCTGAGCCCTCTCCTCTTAGAGCTGCAAAGAGAGACATGCAAAGTGAAATCCTTGCTCCAGTGAAGTCAGTGGGAGTTTTCATTGACTTCAGCAGAACCAGGATTTCACCCATCACCTTCAGGCCTGCCACACAGCTCCTTCAGTCATTTCCCTGTCTGTCTGATGGCCATCTTGGGGAAAGCCTTAGCAGAGGTGAGCTCTAATGTAGATGAACATGATCATAGGAGGAAACGTTAAAGGACGCAGGTCTGGGAGTTTGAAATCTATTTCCAGCTCTGCCATTGACCTGCTATCTGACCTTGAGATAGTCATGTTAGTTCTTTGTGTCACATCCATAAAATGAACAAGGAGTCTTGTGGCACTTTAAAGACGAAGGGTACGTCTACACTTGCTCCCTATTTGGAGCTAGGGATGCAAATGTAGGTGACCGAAATTGTTAATGAAGTGGGAATTTAAATATCCCGTGCTTCGTTAGCATGATCTCGCCAGCGCATTATTCCGCTCAATGGCTGATTCGAACTAATGCGTCCCAGCGCAGACTTTCTGGTTCAAATCAGCTGCTGAGCAGAGTAACGCACCGGTGAGATCATGCTAATGAAGTGCAGGATATTTAAATCCCCGTTTCATTAGCAATTTCGGTCGCCTATATTTGCATCCCTTGCTTGAAATAGGGAGCAAGTGTAGATGTACCCTAACAGATTTATTTGGACATAAGTTTTCATGGGTAAAAACCACTTTGTCAGAGGCATGGAGTTATAAAATGAAGACAATGATACTTCTCCTTCTTGGTAGAGTGCTTGGATATCTATAATGAGAAGCCATCTTACAGCTGAGGATACAGATTAGCAACACTGACCTGAATTTGCCTGGACTGTGCACATCAGTTTTAATGGAGTTGACAGCATATTCTGGACGGTACATTCCACACCATATCTAGAAACGTATCAGAAACATCGATTTGTCATGAATAAGATTTTTCAGGAGAAGTGCTGAGTTAGTTTTGTTATGAAACATTGAATGCTGGGAGACAACATTTCAAATTCAATCTCAGTGAAATGATGCAGATTTTATAAAACCCCACATATTGTAGTGCAGTTTCATAGGCATTCATAGGCCTGGATGAAGTCATGTGCGTAGCTAGGATTAACATCCTGTCTGCTTTGCCATGGACACTTCTCAGTTTAGCAATCCCGTCAACTCTAGTTAGAATGAGGAAAGTCAGACTGCAGTTCCAGCTTACAGTGAAATTGTAACTCAAAACGATTTTCAGACCCATCACTCAAGAAGGCTACAATACCTGTGCAAAGTTCAGGAAGAACAGTTGCTTATGGTTCATGTCAATCCCAGGAAGCAGTTTTTCTTTTCCATTTTTTTTAACAAAGTTTTCATAGGCCTGAAAAATGAATAGAGCAGAAATGTTATTGTTTCCTATTTGTCGTATCAAGATGGAACAATAATGAGAAGGAACATGGACTCTACACATTCTACAGCAAGACTCCTTTAGGCATGCTCTCTGCAGAAAAAAGAGGGGCCCATGCCAGCATAGGAAAGAAATGCCAAGGCCAATTTGACCCAGCGCTTGATTCTCCTCTCACTTCAGGTTATGTCTAGACTGCAGACTTCTTTCAAAAGAACCTTTATGTGGTAGAGATCTTCCGAAAAACCTTCTTCCGAAAGAGAGCATCCACACACAAAAGTGCATCAAAAAAGCAATCTGTATTTTTCAAAGATAGCGTCCACACCGAATGGATGCTATCTCACATTTAAGCTGTGATTACTATGGATGGAATGGCCACCAGCGCACCTGTGCTTTTTCCTCTTTCCTCTTCTTTCGAAAGAACTCTCTCTTCCCCTTCCACACATGCCTTTTTCCAAAAGAGCTCTTTATTTTGGAAAGAGGATTACCATTGCTGGAAAAATCCCTCTGTTCTTTCGATTTACTTTTGGAAGAGCGCAATTGCAATGAGGATGTAAGTGAAGGTTTTTTGGAAAAATGGCCATTTTTCTGACAAAACTCTGTAGTGTAGACATACCCTCGGTTTTATAGGAGCTCCACGGAGTTCAGAATGTTACTTACTCTGCATTTATCCTGGGATAAGTAAAATGAAAAAGAGACCTAAGGAATTCAACTGACTGACAGAAAATAAAGCACAGTGATATCACTGTCTTAGTAGGAAAAGTTT